TTTTATTAATTTATAAATATTTTATATATTATAAATTTAATTTATTATCCTCTTTCCTTTGTTTAAAAGAGGTTTACTGGATTCACTATTGTACAATGATTTTTTTTTACCGTACAAGGCTTGCTACTATCAAGTCACTACTACCTACAAATCTAAACCATGTAATTGCTGCAGATCATTCTCTAATAGTGTTCTGCAATCAGCAGGACATGAAAATCTATGCTGAACCTATTAAAGGCTTCTGTAAAAACAGGAAGTATTCAGTTCTGGCACTCTGAAGTCCTACTGATTTGAACAAGACTTTAGCCAAACACAGGAGGTTCCCTCTGAACATCAGGAAACACTTTTTTTACTGTGAGGGTGACAGCACTGGAAGAGGCTACCCAGAAAGGTTGTGGAGTCTCCACTCTTGAAGATATTAACAAATGGTCTGGATATGGTCCTGAGGAACCAGCTCTAGATGGCCCTGGTTGAGCAGAGGGGTTGGACCACATGACCTCCAGAGGTTCCTTCCAACCTTGACCATTCTGCATTCAGCTATCCAGACACCTGAGAGATTGTATCTTAAGCAGACTCACGAGAAATAAGCTGCTACTACCATTTCAGCAGCTGACCTCTGTCCACATGCATCTAACATCTGGTTCAGTGGAACTACTCAATAGGATGATGTACCATTTGAGACTCATACCAAGTCTATTTTTTAGGATTTGCGTAGGAGTAAGTACACAGGAGCACTTTTTTATAGGAGAAAGAGAAACATAACCTTTTAAAAACTTCTACGGAAATAGAAATACCAGTAATCTAACTAGAGACAGACCATCAAGTTGGTCCTGGTGTTAGCTTATTTACACCTTTGCCCATCTCCCTACTTCTTGCATTTCTTCTTAAATTTCATTAGAATAGTCAGGAAAGGGGCCACATCTCAAAACTAATTTCTCTGTTGACTACTGCAATGGGATCTTGAGCCTGAATAGGACTCTCAAAATAAACACAAGAAAAATCATACTGGTACTAATCAGAAAATGTCCTGAATGTAACACATTATTTTCACTAGCAGGTTGACTCAATGCTGCATGTAGTAGTAGAAAGCAAATACTCATTCATATGTCACACAACCACCATGGAACTGATTTTGTGCATGGAAAAAACCTATTTATCAAAATAAACACATGGTAGGTTCCTGTCAAAGATCCACTCTCCAAGGTTTAATTTAGCAGAATTCTTTCCCTTTCTCTGGAGAAAATCTGACGGGTTCCCCCCCTTCAATTAATCATTCCCTCACAGAGCCGTGTGGTGTTTCCTTTGGCTATGGCTAACACTTATGTATTACAGAGTACATAAAACTCAAAATAGGGTAAAGAAGTTTCTTACTCATCTTTTATTCAGCTAATTTTGATGAAGTAAAGAGTTGAAAACATTATTTTAAGTAAAGCTTTTCTCATTAAAAAAAGGCCAGAAATACAAAAAACCTTAGCAACCACTCCCTTCTAATATGAACGTTCTTTGCTTCAATGACCTCCTCTCTCCAAAAAAAGATGACGTAAAGAGAAAAATAATTACTTTTTTTTCTTACTGATTATGTGAGAGCCTATATAGTATGTATTCAGTCAAAGTGTCCTTTTAAGAAATAAAAAAAAAAAAGATCTAAGATACTTACGGAGTCCAAACCTTCGGAAAGGCAGCTATTTCTTCTGGTGTATATTCATCTAACCTCTTGGGGACTGCTCGTGGCTGAGGAATCTCTTGGAGAAGATTCTCCTGTATATCTTCTGGAATAACCTGAGGCAGGTGAGAACAGCCTTAGCTATCCAATTGTTTAAAAAACACCAGCACTCCCCCCCATCAAATCCAGAACAAAATTTGTCAACAGTACTGAATGCTGTATTTGACCTATATGCAGAAGACAATCTCATGCATGTCTTCTAACTCACAATTATGTGAAATAATAAAGAAAAAAGCATCAAAATTTCAACTACATTTACATACATAAATAAAAAGTAGCTTTATTTTTCTTAATTTACCTTCTTATGACAAGAGTTTTACTACTGCTAACACTCCCCCTTCACCTCCAAATTTCACAGGAATGAAAACGTAACTACATGACTACTCACATCTTCTGGGAAAAGGTGCAGCCTCTGCATCATAGTTCTTCTCTGAAGGTTTTTTGGAAGCATTCTATAAACAGTCAGCTTAACAATCTGAGGAAACATAACATGGTAACAAATAATCAGACAGGCTACAAATAACATGAAAAAGGTAAGCTGTGTTTCCCTCTGTCCATTCCACTAGTCACTGAACCTCTTTTCAGTCAACTTCTTCAATGCTGAAGAACTCTGGCATCACATTCAGAAGGTGCTCTGGACTTACCATTTTGGAAAAAGAAATACTTAGTTCCCATCATACAAACACTTAAACAGCCATATAGAAAATCTCAGCTTAGAAAGTTAAGAGCTAATTTAGCATTGTGGATGATTGCATATAACCATTCAACTTTAAAAAGAATTGAGAAGCTTGTGATAACTCCATATTGTATTGCACATTTATATACACACATTATTGAGAATAAAAAATAAAATAGGCTCTAACAAATGTACCAAGAATTCCCAGCAACTAGTTTAACACTGTAATTTGCTGTATTTGAAACTTCTATATAATTAGTGCATCATATCTCAAGCAAAGCTGACATACCAATACGTTGCATTATGAACATACTATATATATGTATAATTTATTCCCTTGCTATTAGTTCCAGATGAACGATCTCACTTCTGCGCATCAGGAACAAACAGAATTTGTACATCTACACTAGATGATGCTTATTGAAAAGTAATGAAATTCAACAGGATTTCTCTTGGACTCTAGTATAGATGCCTGTAATTTAAATACAAAACACATCGTTATGGACTTCACCCAGAAGGGGAACCTTTGTAAATGTGAAACAAGGCATGCAACTGTAGGAGACAAAAAGGGTTTTATAAAGGACAGCAAAGCATTTAGGGGTAGACCTACATGCAATTTTGTAAGTAGGAGGAAACCCACTCTGCCTGTGCTCAAAGCCACCCAGACATAAACTACCTTCAAATCAGAAACTACCCAAGCATGCTTAGTGCAACGTTAAGCAGAAGACAATAAGCCACACTGAAAGGCAGTGCACTAGGCCAAAACAAATCTCCCAGGCATCTAGATATTTTGAAAAGTGTATTGAGCAAAGTTGCTTCTTTTTATAAAATTATTTATAGGAATTAAACTGAAATTTTAGAGACAATCACCAATACTGAGTTCCCATCTGGAACCACCTAGTTAAGACAGAATGATTAATTGTTGCAAGTGAAATTAATGAGAAAGAAATGCAGGTTCTTAAACTTGCAGGCATTTCTACTTGGATTCTGAAATGAGTAAACACTCAAGACAGTTTGGCCCCAGTATTATTTTCATTTTGCCATGTAACAGACAGTAACATTGTCTTAGGGTCCTCATAAATATATACTATATGCCTTGAGAAACTCTGAAGGCATTTAGAGAAGCCTCAATGTTATGAAGATTTTCAGCTGTCATGCAGCCAGTACTACAGATCTGTGGACAAATATAATAAATCAAGATGACATCAGGTCGTGCAGAATCATCTATACCGCTGATATCTTCTCTAATAAAAATTAATAAGCAACTATTAAAAAACAAAAGATGAAAACTAATGCTTTTAGGGATAAAAACTATTCATGCTGGGTACAGTAGACAACAGTTTATTTAGGTCAGTATACCATGTGCTTAGACAAAGGCAAGATGAAGACAGAAAACAAACTTTCACTGGTTTACTTCACTGAATACTGAAAATCAAGCAAGACACCATAACAATATAAGAAAATACAGATATTAACAGCAGCTCATGTGAACAGTGCCTTTACCATTAGTAATTTTCATTTCATACACTTATTTTCCTTTCTATCCAATATTTTTCTCTTATAGCCAATGAAAGATCAAAATAATCAGATCTAAAACAACAGATTCAGAATTCACAACATATTGCCTAACTGTGGGGATACTTTTATCTAAAAATTACTTTTAACTTCAGATTGTGATAAAACCAGTGTTAATTCCTTAGATTAATAAGCTGTCCATACACACGGTCCAACATACGACCTATGACCTACAGATACACAGAACTAGTTATTTAATGGATTTCACTCCAATAAAAAGAGAGACTTTAAAATATTTTAATGAACATTGTTAAATATTTTACTTCTTCAAACAATCAGTGTTTGTGTCTGATTTTTCATCTTCCTCTGCAAAATGTGGCACAGACATCTGTTGAAACTAACCAGTAAGCTAGATGAATAGCTGATCTATTCTGGTTGTTGAAATTTGATTTTGAAAGTACTGGAATGCTGTTTGCCCCAATTTATTTTGAATTATAGAATTCCTGTTGGCTGTAGTTAAAATATCATCTTGAATACTGCAATATGTTTTTTCGAAGTTGCCTAATTTATATACCTACAACACAGATATGCTCTTAATCACAGTTATATGACATTACATTTTTAGTTTCCAATTTAAAGGGCTAATTATGAGGAAAGGAATCTGAAGGCAGCTCTAGTAAAACTCTTGCACTTTCAGCCCCTTACTACATGGTCTAACATTTTATGAGTACAAATAGATTAAAAATATATTTATTTGAAACGCTGTGAGGCTTGAGCATTTCAATTTTCGTGATAGCCTTTGGCTCATGTGCAAGTTGCAGACTACGCACAATGGACAGCAAGTTCTGAGAAAGATTCTTTGCCAGATAAAACATACTTTAAAGAAGGAAATCAACAGAGCAACACCACTCCTGGTCCTAAGAAGCACAAAATAATTGGCCAGATTTCCAGAAGCAAGTCTACCCTAACAGTTGAATTAAGTCCATTAATCACCAGGAAGCAACTCTAGAACATGGGAAGGACACAGTGCCCCAGATAAAACAAAGGGATTAATTACAGGGCATACAAAAAAACCCGCTATAATAATTTCAGGAGATACACCACTTACTCAGAGGTACAGCTTGATACTACGCCTTCCTTCTACCAGTTCTTCATTTTCTGTTCTGTATATGATATTATTCTTTTCACCATGTGTTATAAAAGCATACAAAGAACTTCACCTTTTTACCTCTCACAGTTGTACGAGTAGTACAACAACACTGAATGTACTTAATACTGCTGTAAGAACCACTTGGTCACAGACAAATTAAATTTCCATCGCATACCATTTTGCTTTCCACTACTGTATAGTATTTAAAAATTTAGAAGTTTAATGTGTTCTTTAAATTAATATATTAATTTGCCTTGCAAATTCAAATAAGAAATGGATTAAGATTTTTTTTTAAACAAAGTATTTATTTTTGTCTACTACGAAGCAGAAGACCAAGTCAGCTCCAAGACTTTTTTTAGAGCACTTAGAGGTTTTAAGATCACACGTTCCATAACAATATTCTCCCCTCATGCCATATTAACTGGTGTGCCCACTAATCCAGACTTTGAAGTTTTGCTTTACTTAATTAAAAAAACTTTACTCCATAGTAATAAAACGCTATTATATCTGGTGTTTCAGCAACTGACTTTTGGCATGTACATATTATTATATCAACTATCCCTTACTGATGCAAAGAAAAAAGGCTTTCAAATACCAACAGCAAGATTTAACCATGCTTTCTGTCCTAGTTTTTCTTCAAAAGATCATTATTACGCAGACATAACGGCAAGTCTATACATGCAAGCAGTAGTTAAAGAGCATTCAAAAGGAGAATCAGAAGATTTTAAGCCCCTTCATATCAGTGCCAGCAGCTGAACAAACCAGACCCCTGACACCCCTGGAGGCTTCCTGACAGCAGATTTCCATAGAGCTACCCTGCCTCGCTTAATAATCTTCCCTAGCAGGTAACATTCATTGTGAACAATTATCGACCATTATTTCTTTGTCAGAGGCAATACAGCCTCGGAATACTGCAGAGGTCAATCCTCTCACTGAGCATTTGGTATTAGCCAAACATGATTTCTTCTTTTTCTTTTTTTGGGGGAGAGTTTCTGATGCAGCCAAAAATCAAAACAAAGTAAGCCAAGTTTTGCTTACTTTTAAAATCAGAAATAGAGTAAAAATAGATTGAAAACTTTGTCCTGACAGGATTACTACCTGGTTCTACAGATTAGATCTGTCAACATATTTTGAAGGTATTTTAATTAAAAGCTGCAAGATTTTTCCAGAAAGTTTTTTCCAAGTAATCTTTGCTCCCTCTCAAATCTGTGAGATTTAAAAGTATATCTTTTAGTCTTCCCATATCAAGTACTTTGAAGCCTAATTTTGAAAGTGTTGGTTTCATGCCTATCAGCATTTTTCCAGCTAAACAAAACTTCTGCCAATTTTATTAAAAACAAACAAGAAAACCCCAAACCTCTATGTATTCCAAACACCTGCATCTCAAATAAAAAGGTTTACCCGTTTCCTTTCTTTTCAAAAGACTCTCTTGGCAAAGAAAACCTGCCAAACCTTTCAAAGATTTTTCTTAGCAACCTACAATGAAAATCAATGTTGTCTGCTAATATATACCCTAAGGGAGTAGTAATACCATACAGAATATTAGTATTATTAGTATTATATTAACCTGAAGAACAGAGAGGTTGTTTTGAACTACAGCAACAAGCTGTTTTGCTGCACCTAAAGAACACACTTAATACTCTCATCTATGGGTGGTCCAAGAATTTACACTAGATCTAAGTCAGAGAAAGAAAAGGCTGAAGAAGCTGTTTTTTTCTTCAGTAAGCACTTCCTAAAGTAGCCTGGCCAAGTCCAATAGACGAGAGGTATTCTCCAGAAGAGCAGACAACTGAAAATACTAGAAATTTTAAAGAGATTTACAGACACTCTCCTCCCCACGCCTCCCAAAGGAGCTCAAAGGTGCTAAAGGTAAAAATGTGCTAGACTATTTACTTTTGAGATCTTTTTGGCAACACATTGTAATTTTTACCCTTCCATAAAAACAAATTTTTCCAAAGTGCTGAAAAACTTGGCGCAATGAAAATGGAACTTAAGTTCTCTACAAAACATCAACTATGCAGACCTCTTTTTGTATTCACTGCCCCATATTAACATAAAAGATAATTAGAAGTGGAAAAAAATAGTAATATTTTGTCAATCTCAGACACAAAATTATACATCTGAGATCAAACACTTATAATAGGTACAGGGCTTTTTTTTTGTTATTTTCAATGAGGAAAAAAGTCAAGGCCTGGAAATGGTTGCCACTGGAGGCTTTCAAGACCAGTCTGGATAAGCCCCCAGCAGCTTTATCTGAACTAATAGCTGACACTGCTTTGAGTAGGAAGTTGCACTAGAGATCTCCCGAGGTTCTCTCCAACCTGAATCATCCTATGAAAAAATGCATGTGCACATTCAAAAGGCAGCGCAAATCCTTCTGAAGCACTAACTACTACCTGCAAAGAACATAAACGTCCCAAGTTAGTAAGACAGATACAATGATGTTGACCTCCATTAAGTGAGAATATCAGATCATCATCCATCCCTATCTTGGTACCTTATGACGGAATTGGAAATGATCAAGGACAATACTGTAGTAAATGTGTCTAAATTCCGACAACTATACTTACAACTTTCAGCCCCCCATGTAAGCGTAAACTATACCACTGTGCATCAAATTACACTTTAGAACCTTTTTAATTAGCTATTAGCCATGTACTGTTTTTTCCTAAAAGTCGTCTGACTGTATGCTAGAAACTATGTTTAAACAAAATTGTAATGGAAAAATATTTATCTTGGGGATTTGTATGTTTGAATTTAGACATATGTAAGTAAAGACAGTGCTAAGCAGTACTGCAGTCCTACTATATACACACACTCACAGAATCTTAGAAGCTTTAATCTGTTTCTTACATAAACCAAAAATAGTCATATCCATTGCAAAATCTCTATGTAACACCATGCAAGTTTACAAGGTGCTATGTCAACATCCTTTGCCTTGGAAGTAGTCTCTTCCATTAATTTAATACCTTTATTTCTGTAACAGCACTATTTCTAAAAATAATGTTGACTCATCTAATGAAGCTCCACCAGGATGAGCTAGCAGGAGACAACAGGACCAAGGGCAGAGAAGAAGCAGTAGCCTCCAGGATGAAAACAATGCTTTAGAGAATGAAGACTTTGATTCCTACAACCTACCTAATTCCTCTGGCTTCACAGGAATTGAATTTAACATGATTAAAAGAGGAAAGGTCTCTTTTTAATTCTTTTTAATTCAAAGTGAAATGAAGTGATTTATAAAAGTCTCCACAGTAACTATGTGTCATTTATATCATATTTTGAAGATCCAAATGCTACCTAGGCTAGGCATTGTTCTCCTTACAGTAATCCTTTTTCAGGTTTAAACAGCTAGTTCTAAAAATAAAACATGTTAGTAATACACCATCATAATTTCCATCTTTGTCATATCCCAATGTATTTCACACCAAAACAATGCAACTAGTAAATAAATGTTTCTAGCCATAAAATCACTTGCAAGTGAAAACCTGTAACACCTACAGAGTATATCGTGCCAAATTACCACCCACTACTATTAATTATGACAAAAAAAAAAAGAGATATCTTTATGAGAGGGACATCTGAATAATCCATCTTCAATAGAATGAAAGAGTTAATTGCTGAGGGCTCTCCACAATTCTGTTTAAAAAAAGTTTCTCTCGCTAAATTAGACCAAGCCTTGAGCCACATCACCATTTGCTGAGCCTCTGTCCAACATCCTTTAGTTGTTGCCAATGCATTTAATCCTCCTCTGTTTGCATAGAAATTCATCTATGAGTCTGGCAAGAACAGAGGTATTTCAGAATGAATGCCAGAAGGTAATTTATAGAACATTCAATTCTCAGGCCTTAACAAACAAGTTGTATTACAGTGCCTCCCAGTGCACAGCGTCTGCCTGAAGCTCAAATGAAAAAGGCTGAAGAATCCATTTTAGACATGAAACTACCAATAATTCCCAAAAGAGTTACAACTATCTTAAAGTCTATTCTCAAAAGCATTTATGTTGTTTTGAAAAATTCTAGACAGAAAATAATATTGAACTGTGGGATTTCATTTCACTTTAAAAAAAGAAATTGCAAAAGTAAAAATGAAAACCATGCAAATTCATATGGCAGACCGCTTTTTTTATTGAGTACTTGTACAACATCTTGCATGAGAAGAGTCCTGGGACAAACCAGGATTTCTACATCATAGATAAAAAATCATTGACAGAAACCAAGAATTTTACAGCAGATCAAGTTTCTCTAGGAAAAGGAAGAAGCATTTTTATATTTTATAAATAAGGTGACACAAGACAAAGCATTTCAAAGTCAAAAATAAACATATATATCTGTTAATCTCTGTGGGCCTCATATCATGTTCTGAAACACTAGCACTTAGAAAATTCAGTCCTGCAATGCTGACCATTCAAAATCCTAGTAAAAGTAATTTCATAACTGTTGAAGTCAATAGCCCAAAATGTTTGTATTTAGCACCCTATTTTTTTAATCAGTAATAAACACATTGACATTGGCATTTAGAATTGGTAATAGTCTATATAATAGTCTAAGACAGACATTTAGTAAAGATGTTTAAGTTCAACGTAATCACCATTTCCTGTTCTTTCACAGACCCTGAACATTTCACAGACCCTGAGCATTGCAGAAAAGATTTTTTAAAAAAATAAATCATTTAACAAAACCTACAGTTGAATTTTACTGGGAGAAAGAGGCAGGTGTACTTTCTAACATTTTTAAGATTAGCATTATTCTTGCTGGCTCTTAAAAAAGTAGTTAAGCTGAAGTACAGCTTATCTAAGTCTAACTTGAGGCAGTTGGCTTATGAGAAAGGTCAGACCCCTGAAACTAAAAGCAAGTGAATCAGTCAAAAATGAGTGAAGCAAGCAAACTTGATTTGCTCACTTGGACAGCATGGAAGAATCATGAAAACGCACAACCTACAATTTAACCCTCAAAACATTTGCTGTTTACAAAAACACTGTCACAAGTCAAGCTTCTAAGAACCATTAGAAGAATGTAATGTAGCTTTAGACATGGAGGTAACTGATCCCTTTTGTTTAGGGGAACTAATTAAATGAAAACAAATCAGCTTTACAAATGAAAGTCAAGAAGAGGAAACACTTACAGCGGTCGGATCATTCAAATGGAGCTGAGTTGCCGTCACTTGTTTGAAACCACCAGGATAGCTAGAAAAACGTTACAAACATAAAAGCTTATTGATATATGCTCAAGCATGACATTAATACAAATATCACTGCATTTTGAACAGTGGTGTAATGCTATTATAAGCCTTCAAAAAAGGAAGCTGTTCTGATGAGGCCAACAACTGTATTTTATTAGAAAGATTCTATCCTGTCAAGTATCTAAGTTTAACACTATTTGTACTTTCTTATTTATTCACTCAAGTATTAAAAAAATTTGTGTTTCATAAGCACAAGTTTTTAAAACTGCTTATTAAATACACTATCACAGCTACAGAATGCAGTGGCAGCAAGATATGCAAAACTTGGAAATATTTCAAGATGATCAACACTCATAATCAGTCTTTGGCTGACACAGGAGACAACCATTTTGAACGGTATTTATTATTTTCTTACTATTTTAAATAAACCTTAGCATGATTTGGCTTATGTACAGTAATAAAACTTGACTTTTACTGCAATGCGACCATCTTTTTAAAGTCTACGTGATATGGGGAAGTTGCACCAATTCACACTGATGCATATACTTTAAGTGAATGTTGCAGTGGTGCAAGAAATGACACAGATGTCAGGTAAAGCTGGGTTTCATTTCGATTTAGTTACATTATTGGGTATCAACCTAAGTGAAATGAAAATAAACCCAACATCATTAAAACATTAAAACATGTTCACTTAGGTAGCTGCACAGATTTAAGTATTTGTTTTAATTGTACAATTCTTTCCAATTACTCAAAACCAACTTACGTACTTAACACAAGTGCTTGAACTTACACAGAAGTTTTTAGTGAAAATGTTTAAGTCATATGGGTGGGGGAGAAAAAAAAAAAAGGCGCATTAATTTCCATCAACTCTGAACAAGAACTTCTCATCAATTCAGCAAAGGAATTTCAGGATTGAAGCATTAGTACTAGCAAAATTAGCTTTATCAATGTGATTTATTGATCTCCCAACTGGATACATTTCGACACTTGGAGATTATTATCTAGTGTTGTCACTGTATAAAATAAGAGCACTGAACTGATCACTGCCATACCATCTGTAATTGATTATTGCACTTCCATCCGTAAACAAGTTATGTCTGCCAGAATAATATATTGTACACTATTGTATACATCAGTACATCTTGAAAATGTTTAATTTCTTACTAGTTTTTCCAATTTCTATTGTTTTTCATTCTCTGATTCAATAATATATCAATCTTGATATTTAGTGCTAGGTAAATAGGTACTGGTAGGATAAAGTAATTGAAATTGGTCAATGTATGTATCTTAAATGTGCAGTGCCAAAAGGAATGTCTTCTACTGTTTAGTAAACAGAATAGTCCTGATCGTTGGGTTCATGGGTTCACACAAAACAACCTGGCACACCAAATCTGTTAACTTACTCAATTGCTCAGACTACTTTTGAGTTAGATTATCTCCCTAACAACACACACCAGGGGGGAAAAAAAAAAAGAAAGAAAAGAAAAAAATGTTTGCATCATTTTAAACATTCTAACACATGTGAACAAAACCCAAAACATCTAAGTAGGAATTCACTTTTGAACCAATATGCCAAAAAAAGACTTCAACTATTAAGAAAATATGACATTAAATTTACCACTAGCTCATTTGAATATTTATTATAAAGCTTACCCAGTATGTGAAGAATATACTTTCTGTTCCCATTTGTTACCAGAGAAGGCAATATGTCTTGTATTTATTATGACAACATGATCTCCGCAGTCACCTACAAGGTAGAAATCAGTGGAAAACATTAAGAGAACAGTGGAGGTAACCAACCAAAATAAGAACTATAAAGTGTGCAATACGTATGTAATAGCACATAAATAAACATTTCATAAAGCTCAAATTTAAAGATCTGAGCTTTTTGAGTCACACCATCCAAATTTGCACTTAAATACCAACCTTAATTACTATTGTGTCAATACTGACAGGTTAGAAGGCAGGTCAGCAGGTAAAACATCATCAGATTAGATAATTAAACCATTGCAATTACTCAGCTAAGATCTGGAAATCTGGCTTACAGGCAAGTGTATTATTTTATTCAACACATTATGCTGCCTATGCACCTATATTTCAAAAAGCCCAGAATAAAAAAAGGTTAATTCTGGACAACCGTGCTAAATATCTGTTTAATTTTAATTTTGTCATCAAACAGTACCAATGTTTACTGGAGGACTGAATATTTTGGATAAGTAAAATAATTATATTAAATAATTACAGTCTAGGGCTAAATATATAAAAGAAACAAAAAGATTGAGGGGGGGAGCGGGAAGGCGAAAGCCCCCCAAAAAACCTAAACCAGCCACTTTCAGCAATAAAGCAGAAGTGCATGTTACAGCACATACAGATATGCTCAGTGTTACACCAGCAACTTCCCCATCAAAAGCTTTTTAAGTGCAAAGTCTATAATCTATCACCAATACCTTGCCAGAAACAGTTACTTTAATAGATCTGCTTTACTAATAAAGTGCTAATAAAACCCATGCTATCTCCAAAATGTGATGAAACTATAGTTTTTCATTTCAGAAGTAATAATCTTGATCAGTTGTATAAGCTATAACCACCCATTCAATCAGTCAGAAAATTATTTGTCCAAAGTTCACTCTCATATGCATTATCACATTAGAATAATGTTGAGTATTTGAAGAGGCCCATTTGATTAAAACATTTTTGAGTAGGTAACAAAGCAGCTACACTAAGAAGGACTTAAATTGAGCATGCATTTTTTATAGGAGCATATAATTAATCAATGCAAGTTTCACTCCCCATTTAAGTTTTCTACCATTTTTCAATCTTGTGTTCTTTTAAAGCTCTACTTTCAACTACAGCCGAAGTGCAAATGGAATTTAAACATCTTCATTGATGCAGTCTTCCACCTATGACAGATCACTTCTAAAACCACTGTATGTCTAAATAAATGTCAGGGAACTGACATTGGACTTTGCACTTTTTTTTTTTTTTTTTTGGTTGGGAAGATGACAGAATAAGCTCATCTAAGGAAATTATTGCCAATAGTTCTCCACTTGCATAAACACTGAATTAACAATTTCATATACTAACTGATCAATTATGAACAATTAAGATCCAGGAGAATAACTAAGCAGATAACCAGGATACTTAAACACTACCTGAATAATGACTGCAATCTGTTCTTTTTAAAGTAGATTGAATTTATGGATAGCTAATGTCTCCTTCAAAATGTCAGATTAATACATTATTTCCCACTGGTCTTTAAACAGTGTTCCCATCACCTCAGGGATGGCTGCACTTAATAGGAAGAAGGCAAAAACACTTACTACCTCCAGAAACACAGTCAAATTGCATCCTACTTTGGAAAAATATTCACAAAATATCATGCAAGAAAACTCTTCCTTTAGGCTATTTTCACAGGATTGTAGAATCACAGAATAGTTTGGGTTGGAAGGGACCTTGAAAAGCCATCTAGTCCAACCCCCCTGCAATAAGTAGGGACATCTTCAACTTGATCAGGTTACTCAGAGCCCCGTCCAACCTGATCTTGAATGTTTTGAGGGATGGGGCATCTACCACCTCTCTGGGCAACCTGCTCCAGTGTTTCACCACCCTCATCGTTAAAAGTGTCTTCCTTATCACTAGTCTAAATCTACCCTCTTTTAGTTTAAAACCATGACCCCTTGTCCTGTCGCTACAGGCCCTGCTAAAGGTCTGTCCCCATCTTTCTGATAATCCCCCTTTAAGTATTGAAAGGCTGCAATAAGATCTCCCCAGAGCCTTCTCTTCTCCCAACTCTCTCAGCCCTTCCTCATAGGAGAGGTGCTCAATCCAAATTTTTGTGGCCCTCCTCTGGACTCGCCCCAACAGGTCCATGTCTTTCCTGTGCTGAGGACACCAGAGCTGAAGGCAGTACTGCAGGGGCGGTCTCACCAGAGCAGAGTAGAGGGGAAGAATCCCCTCCCTCAACCTGCTGGTCATGTTTCTTTCAATGCAGCCCAGGACACGGTTGGCTTTCTGGGCTGTGAGCGCACATTGCTGAGTCATGTCCAGTTTTTCATCCACCAGCATCCCCAAGTCGATCTCCCCAGGGCTTCTCTCAATCCCTTCATCCTCCAGTCTGTATCAATATCAGGGGTTGCCAAGACCCGTGTGCAGGATCTCGCAACTTGGCCTTGCTGAATCTCATGAGGTTCACATGGGCCTGCTTCTTGAGCTTGTCCAGGTCCCTGAGGCATGTCAACAATTTTCATGCTATAATATTGAAATATTCCTTTATGAAATATGTAAGTATGTTTTCCTCAAGAAATATACAAAAATAAGGCCGGTATATTCTATTATACAATATAGCATATGCCATTTGTTACATACAGCACATACATTGTGCCTCTTCAGACAAAACTAAGCTGCCACAGTAAGTCCATTTTATATTTCTGTATGTTTATAACTTCAGTAATTCCTATCATACAGTAAAAACACATGCTTCAGGTACATGCATTTTTCCTCCTACATTTTAATTAAGGATTAAATGGTAATTAAAGGTACATATTGTCAACTGTTAGCTCACAAGACTGACAAACCACTTGCCAAATCTTTTCTTAGAAGACAAGTCTTCACTGCTGCTTCTAGCTACTATAAACTAACATTGCAATCTAGAGTAACACCTAGACCAGACAGGGTTTGTGGGACACCTCCTTTGAGAAGGCAGAGAACAGCAGCAAATCCTACCCAAGCAACAGAAGTGGCTCACCTGTACCTGCTCACAATCCAAGATACAGAACCAGATCACCCAGTGTTTTAAAAATCTGGCCCACTATTTTTGGTTGTGTATTGTGAGGCTGCTTACAAAGATAGGATGCAAGGGGATCAGGGTAGAGAAAAGGAGAGATGTAGAAGAAACCTAAAAGTCCAGATTCAAACCTCCTGAACAAGGCTGTATTCCCTTATTTAAGGCCTATGGTCTGACAGCATCTAAAAATACGAGACTCTGGAGAATAATGAAAGATTATCCTTAAAATTGAAAATAAATATACATGAAATCAAATTTCTTCCCTTCCCTAGCCACAGCTTAAATTCAGCTCCAGATACTTTTCAATAGAATAAATAGTGATTTTATGGAAGGGTATCTGGATACCAAATTAAAAACAAAACAAAACAAAAACTCCCCACAATGTTATTCTGTCTAAGGAACAGTTATCTCACGGACACTAAAATATTTCTTGTTAGTTCAGGGGGAAAAAAAGGGAAAAAAAGAAGTGTTAAGTACACCAACCACAAAATCATGCACACTTTGCTCTCTTAGAGAGTATCAATGTCTCAGTAGTAGTAACCTACCAATGTCAATCTCAGGTGTAACGCATTTGGTACTGATTTATAGAATACTTTAGACCAAATAAAGTTATCCTTCAAATGACTTTCCAGGATTTTATAACTTCATGGACATAAAAGTATCAAAGATCTTTCCCACAGGACAACCAAAAACATTTCCTCTCAGTGTCTGCTTTATTTTTCACACAGCCTTAGTCTCCAGTGACATCTTGTGGATAAGATATAATTTGCAACAGCAGAACTCCGGTATTTTAAAACATCTTTAATGCACTACACATACTACCTTCTATTATGAAAAACAGATCAAGCATAATTTTAGTATGTGCACTCTACATATATGAACAAAGTTTAATGCTTCCTTTATGTTTCAGTAATGCCTATTGGAAAATTTGCATGAGTATTACAAGTGAACCTGCTTTGACGGGGGGGTTGGACTAAATGATCTCCAGAGGTCACTTCCAACCCCAGCCATTCTGTGATTCTGTGAAACACTGCACCGTCAATATGAGGGATCACCTTTTTATTACCTATAAGATGCTTATCACCGTGAGACAGGCACTATGGCATTACAAGTAATGAACAATATCACAGATACATCTTTACTGCTGAATCTTTTAATTTGCAGAAAAGCAAAATGATTTTTTCATTTAAACAAGAAGATATCTTTCAACAATGATTCTGTCTCCCATTTAAGAATCAGACAGGTTCCAGCCTCATCATCACAGAATATCTGAGATTGGAAGGGACCTCTGGAGGTCACGCTATCTAGCCGTCCTGCTCAAGCAGAACCAGCTTTTGAATATCTCCAAGAATGGAAACTCCACAACCTCTTGGGCAACCACTTCCAGTCACCCTCACAGTAAAAAAAACGTTCCCTGATGTTAAGAGAAAACTTCCTGTGTTTCCGTTTGTGCCTGCACCTCATGAAGACTGGACTTCTCTGCACCTTACTCCGAATAAAGAACCACTCCAAGACTCTGTGGTGGTGTGCAGCTACTGAAAGGTAGCAGTCAGAAAATCTAATCAAGAATCACATCAGTGTTTCAGTATGTGTACTGAGAATTAAGTCTCTACATCTAAAATTAATGCAATGAAACACATTTCAAGGTTTTAAAAAAAATGAAAGCACAACTCACTGTAATTCAGCTATTTAAATTATGAATTCATAATGAGCTTTATACGGATTGGTAAAGACAATGACATAAGGTTGTAGTCGAATATGAAGGAAAAAGTTGACAAGGAAAACAAAGACATTTATAATTTACAAACAACTGAAAAATGTAACCTTATATATCAGGCTTGATTTTAAAACTGAGATCAGAAGAAAAATATAAGTGAAGGAAAGCACATTTGCTTTTATCTACTGCAATACTCACTTAGTGCATGATAAATAGGCTTATGCCTGCCTTCAAGTCTGATTACAGTTGCAGCTGCTATTTTTCCTGGTGGTTGCATCTTCGCATCGAGGAGATACCAGGCTCTGGCAAAAGTAGCCCATTGCTAAAGAGAAAGAGAGGTAGCACTTAACATAGTAAAAGATCACACTACCATACATAAATCTAGGTTCTCTAATTAGATCAACACTTTTTTTACACTACAAAATACTAGAAGAAATATTAATATTCAACAAGTACCCCATCCAAATAACCTTTAAAAGGATGGAGAACACCACTACACATTGCAATACCCCCACTGCTGTATGTGCTTCCAACGTACGTGGCGATAACAACACTGTAAGGTTACCAGCTCTGACAGTTTTGTTTCAAAAATGAAGATCTCTTGCTGCAAGCTTCCGTTATTACTAATTGAACTGTAAAATCGCTGTAGGCTATTTAATGTCGAACATCTCTTTTCCTCTCAGTGAACGGCACAACTCCCCAAAACTAGTTTTATGAACACGAATAGCCTGAGCTGCCTTCGGCGGGCAGCCTTGTCCCTCACAGACCAGTCACACACCTACTGACCGCTACCGGTTCCTGCCAGCGGGTCCCTCAGGGCGAACACCGGCGCGCACGGCCGCACCACGGGCTCTCCGCGACAAGGGGAGAGAGGGGGAGAGAGAGAGAGAGAGGGAGGGAGGGAG